GCCATTTTGAAATTCAAGATGGTGGCCGAAAACGCCCTTGGATCACATGCACAGCAGTGTTGTATGAAATAGTAACCGCAAATTACGTCTGTCAGTGAATTTTCAAGTCTGTACGAAGTATTATTAACCGAGATATAGCTAACATTTTTTAAGAAATGACGGCGGCCATTTTTGAATTCAAGATGCGCGCGAAAAGCGCCCTGGATCACATGCATCACCTTGTTGTATGAAATAGTAACCCAAATTACGTCTGTCAGTCCAATTTCAAGTCTGTACGAAGATTATTGAAATGCGAGATAGTAGCTATTTTTAAGAAATGAAGGCGGCATTTTTTAAATTCAAGATGGCGGCGCGAAGTTGTAGTTGGATCCGTGTGTCTGCTTTTAAATGAAAGAGCTACAAAAGTATGCATGTGTACCAATTTTCATACTTTTTTCAACAATTTTGAACGATTTTTTCCTAATCTACTGTACTACTATAGCGTCATTATACGTTGATTATAGTATATATATACATAACTATATATATATACCAGGAGTTAATAAATGCCAAAATTAATTGTCATTATTATTAACTCCTGATATATCATCCTGATATATATACTATAGTACTGCATTGAACAGTGGCGTACGTAGCTAAGATTTTCTGGCGGGGGGGGGCCGTACAATTTTCGCTTGGGGGCAACAATAAATAACTTTTTTTTGTATTATACTGTTCTAAACGCATTGTTTTTAATTCAAAATTTTTTTTTATACAAGCATGAATTTTTAAGGGGGAGGGGGGCATCCGTGGGGGGGCACAGAAAATTTGTGGGGGAGCGCGGATCCCGCCCCGTAGCTACGCCCCTGGCCAATTAGTCAGTCTTAACCAGATGGAATAAGCGCAGACGTGGGAACAATTCCACCGTTTCCTGTGTTTGTCAAAAGATACATGTTTAAATATTTTATTAATCATTGCGTTTAGCTATTGTGGTCGGCATATGTTATTAAAAAAATGTTATATGCGGATAAATAAATACGCACACACACGTGCACACACATAATTGCTATACATGAATACATATGAATACAAGTACTATGTCATGTACTGAATATAGGAATGGAACACCACACACATACACACACACACACACACACACACACACACACACACACACACACACACCTACGTGCACGAACCGACACAGCGACACAGTGTTTAAAACTGTCTACGTCACGAATTTCGAGCACCAGCAAGTAGTATATTTGTGTGTTATTTGTACAAAATAAAATGTATGAAAATACAATTAGCGTTTCTATTTACTTTTCATGCTCATATACCTTCTTTATACTCCCTAATTTGCCGGTGCATTCGATGTAACCAAACTTTCGATTCAAAACAACCGCCAATGATCGAAAATTATTGTGTGGCCGCCAGACGCAGCTAGCCGATATAGCGAACATTTGCGGTAAACGAGGCATTGGCAAAATTATTGTGGCGCCATGAAAATTCCTTGTAAACTTAAGCGGGAGTTTCCCATATAAGTCTTCTCTTCTGCTTTTTCTCTTTCGTTTTCTTTCCGATGCACTGGTCTGCCCACCATTGTTTATCGTTTAGTTTACTTAGCTTCTGATCGATCCTTGAAGGGGATGTCCACAAACATTTTTGTTGCAGAAAATTAAAAAAACACAAATAACATTTTCGACGTTTTTAATAAAAAATTTTCAAACATAATACGCATGAACATATATTATTTATTTCCCTATATTGTATATTCTATATAGCCAACACAAATCAAAAACGAAACTGTTTGGCACCAACTTTGTGCAGCCATACACAAATCACGAACATCGACCACAGCAACCAGTGCAGCAACCGAGCTGACGCCCAGTATTGTGTAAATAGTGTAGGTAACACTATTCAATAATCGTCGAGATTTTGCAAATTTAAGCCAAACGTAAAAACATTTATACAGGTGAGAGCTTTAGGATATATTTAGTAACGTTAGTACTAACTTTTGATGTAAAAAAATTACGAAAAATAAGGTTTTCAACTATAATTCAGGGAAATTCGTGACGTAGACACTTTAAAGGACCTGGTCGAAGACAGTAAAACAGCTACACACCACTCACACACAAGTACACGCACGCAAATGTGAATATGCTGAATATCGGGAATGAACGCACCTATGCAACTCATTGACGAGATTCAACAGATAAGGGAAACACGTATATATTAATCGGACACACGACACACACACGCACCCTCGCGCACACACACACGCACACGTACACACACACACGCATACACATATACATGCACCCGCACACAGACACGCACACACACACACCCACACGCACACGCTCACCCGCGCACACATATACACATACACACAGACAGACAAATATCCAAACTCACACACACACGCACGCACGCACACACGCATATATATTTATTTATACATATATATATATATATATGTATATATATAATGAAGTAAATAATTGTATGTGTGTGTTCGCGCGTCCTCGCACCCGTGTGCGAGGAGCATGTGTGCGTATATGTATGGGTATATATTTATGCGTCTTGAATATATTTTTGCGTGGATGTGAATGAATATTAGGTATATCTGTGTGTGGGTGCCGCCACTCGGTCGTTCTGGGCGCAATTGTTTTCTTAGCGATTGGCAGTGGGACCCGATCTGGTAGTGGCCCGTGTATGCTGTATCTTTGCAGTAAACAACTCAGTTTTAAGCAAACAACGCCACTACCATTTCATTATGCGCTGCTTATATTAATAATTTAATATATATATATAAATTTATTCTACAGACTACTCGCTCGTCACGGTTATTATTATATTATTTAAATATACCCCATTTATTATTTATTTATCATTATTTATATATTTTAATATATATTAATATTAATATATATTTATTTATAGTTTTCAATGTAATCTATCCATGGTTTTGTTGTTAATTTTTTTTTTTCTTCAGCTAATACCATTTGACATCAAATTGCCATGTATCCAGCTCACAATTAGTCAGAATGACTAGATATATGTGATAAAAAGGCTAAAAAAAGCAATAATAATAATAAGTCAGAATGAGTATTCTACAAGTATTGCGAAATATATATTCAATGTATAACTGAGATACATGTAAGAATTTGGATATGGATTTTACATTCTCTATTGACTCTATTGCATGTATACATGTAAATCTCAGATAGAATACTTAATTTCTTATACATGTATTTGCATGACTGAACTTTGAACTTGGATATACACCCTTTCCAAGTGCATATGAAAGTCATAAGTTCCTCACTATGAAGGTTATTTACATGCAGGGTTTGTTATGAACTTATGTGAATACACACCAATACATAGCAGTTTAGGAAGTACATTGTTCAACATAATATTACAATTTTTCAATCTTATATTAAGTTTCGTTTATACATGTACTTATATTTTCATATAGTATTTTAATAAACCAGATCACAATCTGCTACTTCAAGCCACAAGAACACACGTATTTCAACGTTACAAGAAAACAAAAACAAATGTACCCAAGTCCCACCCTCCCACAATCTCCAATGTGATTATTCATATCTCCGTAACAATGAGATTTTTTAAACGAAATGCCCACATGGACAATTCTTTCGGCGGATGTGAGTTATCACTGAATTCGCTACCAGAAAATGTCTGCCACAAGAACACACGTATTTCAAGTTGAATGTCTTCAAGCAATAACGAATCAAACTCGAAGTGCGCATCTCGGTTAAGTCCAAGGTGTTAAATTTTCCTTCAAATCGTGTCTGCTCATAGGCGTCATCATCTTCACACTTCAATAGCAGCAAGTTGTTTAACAAAGGTACTGTCGTTTTTTTGTCCAGGCTTGCACGTATTTCCTCCTAGGTCATTGTCGACTTGTACGCCTTGTTGAAGCCCTGCTTAAAGTGACTAAGTTGGAGTAGCAATGTGTGATCAGGTAGCCTATAATACAGATATCCGAAATATATACATGTATTGTATAACTAAAAATAAGAACTTGCATAATGGATTTTTGCAATTGTATTGCAAGTATAAATGTCAAATACAATAGTAACGATACTTATATTTGCATGCCTGAACTTTTGAACTTGGATATACAAGTATTGCGAAATATATATTCAATGTATAACTGAGATACATGTAAGAATTTGGATATGGATTTTACATTCTCTATTGCATGTATACATGTAAATCTCAGATAGAATACTTAATTTCTTATACATGTATTTGCATGACTGAACTTTGAACTTGGATATACACCCTTTCCAAGTGCAATATGAAAGTCATGTTCCTCACTATGAAGTTATTTACATGCAGGGTTTGTTATGAAACTTATGTGAATACACACCAATACAATAGCAGTTTAGGAAGTACATTGTTCAACATAATATTACAATTTTTCAATCTTATATTAAGTTTGGTTTATACATGTACTTATATTTTCATATAGTATTTTAATAAACCAGATCACAATCTGCTACTTCAAGCCACAAGAACACACGTATTTCAACGTTACAAGAAAACAAAAACAAATGTACCCAAGTCCCACCCTCCCACAATCTCCAATGTGATTATTCATATCTCAGTAACAATGAGATTTTTTTAACGAAATGCCCACATGGACAATTCTTTCGGCGGATGTGAGTTATCACTGAATTCGCTACCAGAAAAGTTGCTCACAAGAACACACGTATTTCAAGTTGAATGTCTTCAAGCAATAACGAATCAAACTCGAAGTGCGCATCTCGGTTAAGTCCAAGGTGTTAAAGTGTGAAGATGATGACGCCTATGAGAAACAGACACGATTTGAAGGAAAATTTCCACTGAGAGACAAGACCTTGTATTCCACCAAAATCCTTCACATTGACCGAAGTAGGTGCTTCAATTTTATTTTGCCGTTGAAGAAACGGACCTTCACTTTTCTCTTTTCGGTAATAGGCTCACTGAAACAAGAAACATCACTATGTTTCATGGCTTAATATGATAGGGGAAGTACAAGATGGCGTCGGGGGACTGCAGGGGCAGCATCAGGTGGTGCTATTGGCACAAATAGTTCAAATCACTTGAACCACAAGGTAAAATCCTCAGGGATATTTACTTGACATATTAAATATATAGTGAATTTGTCCGATTCGCAGCACTGCAGAAAATCCCAAGTTGGTACATGTTGTCATTTAATATTAGGAAAATTCTTGGTTATTGCCCAGTCCATCATTTTGATATCTGACATTCAAATAAGAACTTCAACAGTAACATTTTGATTAGAGCTATTTTGTTTAGTTTCAATTGGATGTGATAACATGCCAACTACAATAAAGTTTAAAGTATTAAACTACTACCGGAACCAAAAGAGGACGTTCTCAACTAGGCATTGACCCAAACATACGTATGAAGTTTGGTCAAGATCGGGATGATAAATGTGACTGTAGACTGAGAAAAAAGAATTCAAGATGGCCACCCGTGGTGGCCATTTTGGGTGGTGGAGCCGAACCAAAAGGGGACGTCTCATCTAGGCATTAACTACCAAACAGTATATATGAAGTTTGTCATGATTGGATAATAAATGTGACCTGTAGACTAAGACAAAGGAATTCAAGATGGCCACCGGGTGGCTATTTTGGGCAGTGGGCTGGAACCAAAAGGGGCGTTCTCCTCTAGGTATTACCCCAAACATGTATATGAAGTTTGGTCATGATCGGATGATAAATGTGACCTGTAGGGTTGTCTGAAGCAATTGTGGACAAACAGACACAGACATCCGTCAATGCCACAGCAATAGCTTACCTTGACTTCGATCGTCAGGTAAAGCTAAACTCAGAGATCATAAAACTTCTTATACTAGCTTCAAATGGTAAGGTGAAGCATTAGGAAAACGAAGTAATCGAAGATGATCAGGAATGTGATCTAGGAAGTGAAATTCTAATCAAAACTCCACACACCCTCTGCTTCACACTACTTGCCGTGAGTACTTGAAGAGGGCTGTCATGTAATTAACGAAAGCTGAAAACTCTTTTTCTGTAGTCAAGTCAAAACTCTCCAATTGAAAAATATTGATCTTTTTGGCAGATTTTTCAGCAAGATAGAAGAGTACTTCATGTTGGCATATCAAAACTCCACACACCCTCTGCTTCCCACTACTTGCTGCTGCTGTTGGAACCATAGACAACAGTTCGTGTTTCAATTGTTCTACATGTTCCGAGCGTATGGTCCCATGTTTCACGGAAACAATGAGGTAGGTTAGCTTTGTTTTGCAATCGCGTACCAAATTGTCGACAACAGGAGTACGAGTGACCTCATGTCCGTCATCTTCAGACTCCGTATACTCTGGAACTATGGAACTGAAAGATGAGTCTTTCTGCGATGAGCTTTTCTGCGATGAGTCTTTCAGCGACGAGCCTTTCTCCGACGAGTCTTTCTCCGGCGAGTCTTTCTCCGACGAGTCTTTCTCCGGCGAGTCTTTCTCCGGCGAGTCTTTCGGCATCAAGTTTTTCTTTGGCGAATCTTCCGACGAGGTCGACCTATCCGACTCGACAGGATAGTAAGTGTACATGATTTGCAGCTTGTGCAGTAGTACGTTATTGGGGGAACCTCCCCCAATATTGACTATGTCAAGAAAAGAATCCTTCAAGTAGTGCCTTAGCAGGGCATCCATGAAATGCCTGCCTGAAGAGTTGTAAAATTCTTCGACAAATGCCATGTGGCATGCCCTCTGAGCTCTCGTCCAGTTGTCTGTAACAATAATAGTACATTCAATTCAGACACAAAAACAGTGTACACATCCAACTAAAAGACCCAAGATTAAGAAATTAAACTAAAATGAACATGCACAAGTTTTTTGTTGTTGTAAATTGTAAAAATAAGCACACACAAGCCTCAACACTGTTTGAATACACATTATTATACATGTATGTGTTATAGGGCAATACATGTTGTTTACTCTTAGCATACAACGACCATTACAAACAGCTTGGAACAAGACAGGACACTTAGTAACTCAGTGTCTGCTCAGGATCCAAGCTGTTTCACATTCAGAGACTGTACTTTTTAGAAATTCTGTGAAAATTCAAAAATATTATCTCGAGTGTTGGAAGACTTTGATCCTTGGTCTTTTGTTGAAAGCAGCGAATTTATTACACTACGCAGACAATTTTGTGGACTATCTAGTACTTAAAATTTATTGTATAACAACCAAAAGTCACAAGGGCACCAAAACGGCGCCGACAATCCACCATATTTCTGAAATCGATCCTTAAAAACACCCGTCAGGCATATTGCAAGCATGCGTAACGAATACGAAGGCAACGCTTTTGCCAAGAGATAAGTCTGCAAAATAAATTGAGAATTTTATGTGTTTGTCGCGGGACGTGGTTCAACGTTCAAACGGAACATAAATACCGGCATCGGCATTACTTTTTTCTCTACGGCGAGTATTAATGTTATTTTTACGAGGTTAATGATGACGTTTTGCGGGAATTCTTGCACAGAGATGCGGCGCAATCGGAAACTGAACGCCAGTAATTTGTTTGCACACGTCCCGGCAGCGAATAGCGTAATATTTAAAACATTACAGCAAGCACGTGCGCCGTTGCTAGCACTCGGTTTCTTTGTTTATTTTCGCGCCATTCTCACGTATATCGGTCGCATGGCGTGACTTTCTGGTCACATTTTTGCAAAATAAGGATTCGAAATAATTGTCTCTTCGGTACTCAGAAATTGCAAGTAAAACTTCGTAGCAATTATTAATGCAAACATAAATTATGAACGAGCCATTTTTTTCGGTTTTCCAATTGTTAGCGAAACACTCGTCGGCAAGCGTTTACAGTTCTTACTTGTCTCACACAATTAATTAAAAAAGCATAGCCAATTATCAATCATAAGTCCGTTGTTCGTATCTGTAGTTTAATGCAATCAAATTTTCATGCTAAGCTGATTAAGGTGTCATATAATCAGTAGCGGATTATCAATGGGGCAAAGGGGGCATTTGCCCCCGGCCCTACAAGTCGACCGGCCCTAAAGTGTTGTGACTACAAAAAAAAATTAGTTTATCATTTTTTCCAAAGTATATCTTGGGCCGGCCCTACCACTTTCATATGACTACATTTGTTTTTGCTTTCTACTTGTTTTCATTTTCTCCATGTTTTGTGGTGTACATTGCAGCAGCTAGAAATAATATTCGCTTTAAGGTAGCTAGTGGGGTTAAAGCTACCAATTTGTCAAAATATTATTTTTTTTTAATTTTAACTCTTAGAACGTTTCCTTTCCATTTTTCAACATTAATTGCTTATAATTATCCACTAAACAGGTCTAAAAACATTATATGCTTATGGGAAGGGGGCGGGTGGATGGGCGGCCCAAATATATGATATGCCCCCGGCCCAGGCAACTGTTAATCCGGCGCTGCATATAATTGTGCGTCAATACTCGCCATGCGCCCACCGCAAACTTTCATACCCGGCCTGTCATTTCGGTCTGTTGATTATGTGTGCGGAGTTATCTAAAATCACCCAACGGCGGGCATAAAAAATTGCTGTGGTGTTTCCGATAGAACTGAGCCAATAAAAAAACTTTTTTAAGACGTTATGATGACATAAACAGAGGTAAAAATATCCCTGGGTCGCTTACCTATATCAGCAGGTTTACATGGTGCCCACCGTCCGTCAGTGTACTTCAGGGTCTGTATAACATCTGTGAACAGGCTGGTGTCCTCGTTGGCCGGGTGGATCATTGGGCATCGATGATATGGGCGTATATGATGTACTGGGAAGGACACGCCACCTGGGGAACCACACCCAGGCAGGACCTTCCACTCTTCCACTCTTCCGAACTGCCACATATTCTTCCCTTGTTTTCCTCTCGGGAGACTGATGGACAATTGAATCTCCGCCCCCAGCATAGTCTGGAAACAAAATCAGCAATTTATGTATAATAAGTAAGAGGGAAAGTATGAAACCCGGACGCGGACCCGGACGCAACTTGGGGTATGAAACCCGGACCCGGACTCGGACCCGGACTTGGGGTATGAAACCCGGACCCGGACTCAGGCATATTATATATAGGACTAGATTCCTTACGTGTGCGTACGTACTTGTATGGGTATAACAAACCGATTAACTTGTGCAGATTTTGTCACTTAGAATCTAATTGTGGAAACCAAATCAAACCATTGATTATTTTCAGATGGAAACCATGCCTATTGCTAACCCTATAAGATATGGCTCTCCTCCTCACGGGAAGAGAGCCATATGTCTTTAAGCCATTTTTTTCGACATGGAACACACGAAATTTTCCAGGAGAAAAGCATGAAATTACACGTTTTTCAATCAATAAATAACTCCCCCTTGGTAGCCTTTATCTATTTTGATTAGAGCTATTGTAGCCTCTAAGATGTATCGTAGACGGTAACTCGTAGATAGACGTAAGAGTTCGTATAAACGGTGAACAACTTATAACTTTATTCTAGACACGACGAATAGTGACAGTGTACACATACCAACGGCAGTCCGGGACTCTCCCGTTTCTCTAAAACTGCTCTCTTTTAAGCTGTGAACGCGTGCCCGCGTTCCACTGCCTTTCCTGATTTATGGTCTGGCTAGTGGCTGCAATGACGGCTGGGGCCGGGTGATTTATTGTTTGGGGGTTCGATGCCTCCTTGACCAGTTCTCGGACTGTCATTACGACTTGCTTACTGCTTGCCCGTTTGCCTTCGGCCTTGTTCTAGAGTCGGGCGAGGCCGTCGCCCGGCCGTGAGACCGGCCGTCCCTTCTAAATATGTCGGACGCCATCTGTCGCCCGTCCCTGTTCCCACGGTACGACATTTCTGCATTACATTTCACCCTGCCCCAAAAATTTAACCCAGTCTCCTGACTGGAGAGAGTTAATTTTAAGAAAAATTACCGGGAAAAGAAAAAAGCTTGCTGTGCTATCGTCGTGATAGGTTTTGCTTGTAATCGTAACCGTTTAAGTGTGTAAGCTTACCCTAGTGTTTCTTGTAACTGCCACTGCGTAACATGTCCACTAATACCATACAATTCATTTCGACTCAATGCAATACATTTCAATACAAGAAAGTACGATTCAACCCATTTCAATACAATACAATTCAACTCGATTAGACTCAATGATAATATAATGCCAAATACCCGTGTATAATATCATTGCGTAATACTCGCGTCGTCCCGTCACCAATCGCGTGATATACTGTGCATGATAATTTCGAAATTTACGATTATATCGTACGTCAAACCGTCACCAATCGCGTATCGCGTAATATATACTGCACAACGGTTAAAAAATGGCCTATACTACTAATAGGTAGGTATCACAGTAAAGCACATTATTGCGGTTCCTGCTGCACCGCGAGTGAGAAAAAGCTTCCCTTTCAACAGGCGAAATTATCACCAAGATTATTATTTTAATGGGAAAATTATATACCATTTGAAAGCTGAATGTATAGACTCTTGATTTATGTTATTTTCATTAAAATATACCATTCACTCACAGAGATATTAGACCTGAACACTCTGCTAGCTGGGCATATATTACGTCTTTCGCCAGCCATTGTGAAAACCATCGTTGCAAGGGATAGCTCTAGTCCCAGGCGCTTTTCGCCGATGTAGTAATCATTTAGAAAACATAACAGTCACACAGAGCAGGGTTTTAGCTTTAATTTCATGTGAAATATGTTGGGTAGGTAATAAAATATTCCTCTAAAATTCCGGTTAAGGATTTTAATCGGTAATTTTCATCGAAACGTCGAACTATTTTTTCGTGATTTTCATATCAAAATGGAGAGAATTTAACGAAGAGCCGATAAGCAATGAGCTAATATTCACCGAGAGATGGCGTAGCAGCGCATAGCGGCTGAATATAAGGTATACGAACGAAGCATCAACACAGCGCGTTCAGTGAGCGCGTTACAATCATGCGCGCAGCGATGGAAGGTAACGTCTTTGCCGGCAACTGATCAAGCGAGTCGAGCGTCGAAACTAATCACTTCTTTCACGAAATTAGTTACTATATATCCTCTACGGTCGTATTTATTGTTTTAATGATATTTTGCAGTTTGGGAAAAATAGAACTAGAAGACGAAATAATCAGCGCTGTATCTTTCTTATCGATCTGCCGGTCCACACTGGCGGGCCGCGAGTCGGTGTTTATGTTTTGTTTATGTGTTGCTAGTCGATCTACAGCAGCGTACAGCTGGTGTTGTACTCACTTTACTCACTGAGGTCTTTGAATTTAAACAATTTATGACGAAACGACTGAATAGTTATCTAGACAAGTAAACATGGATTTCAAAATTTATGTAATGAGAAATATGGAAATTACATTTTATCCTTGATGAATTGCGTGCATTTTTGTTTGTTAAAAATGCACTTGCGCGGCAGTTTAGAGCCACAGCGTGCGCTGTTGCAGCGCGCGCGCGGTGCGTCGCGGGCTATGTTTGGATACAGTTTTAAAAAATGAGTGGACATTTGTCATGGTCCATATTCACAGAGTCTTTTAAACTGATACCTATTGCTTGGTCTCCAAAGATTTACTTCTGTGTACCGTACGGTTTTGAATTTATGTGGATTTGAAAATGCATTGAGAACTTGCGCGCAACTAGTAAAAATGTGCATTGTTACACATGGCAAAATATGCTTTACAAGGGTTTTCAAAAAATCATTAAAAAAAAATAAAAATTTTGCACAACCTGAAAAAAAATAGGAGAGTTGTATGCCATAGGTAGTTTAAGATGACAAAAGTTCAATGTCACTGAAGGGTGCATTTCTGAGATATGACTGTGCAAATATTACTGATTATCACTTATGCGTTAATTTAAACAAAATCGACCCTTTCCCATTACTTTTAAATAAGCATATCTCAAAAAGTATTACATTCTAATTTTGACAAATGAGTATCGCAAATGTTTTTTTCATGAGTTTATAATAAATCCCACAAAGTTTAAAAAAATTTCAATATGCACTTGAAAATATCACTGTATGATACCTACTAATTAGACACGCTGCAAACGTTATAATGTTATTTATCTTTTAGTGTGAAAAACTCACAATGCGTATTAGAAAAGTTGAAAATCGCGGAGACAAAAGTTATAAATTTGCATGAATAAAATGTCTATTCGACGTGAGATCCACATGCGAGAGAAAAAGAATTTGATAGTGAGAGGGATTTTAGAAAACCAGTTTTTACGTGAAGATACATTTTATATTGTAATTTAAAAAATTGGAAAAAATCACTGTTTGTTTATTTCGTTAATTACTGCCACGAAACCCGTTAGTCTGGCGGGGAAATGGGAAGGGGCACAGTTTGGCCCTTACCGTACTGATAACCCGCCTTAATGGACGAAGCCATGCAAAACGCAGGACCAACAAACCAACTTAGCAGCCATCCAAGTAGGGCCCCCTGCACGCCGAATGTCGTTTGCGTTCGACCTCGGCGAAGGGGTCCCCATGGAGTGGCGGCCGCGGAGTCGGTTGTGGTAACGGTGACAACTATACCAGAGTACACTGCAGCATGCGTTGGTGCAATACCTCGAGACGCCGCACGTTTTCTGGGTATTTGTCGTCTGGGTCGCATGCTCGTAACCAGATATAATACCTCTCTATCAAATAGCTCTGCTCGTCTTGAGAAAAAAAACCTTTTCTCACTTCAGAGAAATTAATGCCTGGTAGGCGGTGAAACATACCTACATACATACATACATTCATACATTCAGATAGGCTGTGAAACATACCTACATACATACATACATTCATACATTCAGATAGGCTGTGAAACATACCCACATACATACATACATTCCGATAGGCTGCGAAACAACTGTGTCGGCTTAATTCATTATTATAAATTTGTTCCAACATAACAACAACAAACACTTTTGGGAATAAACAGGTAGATGGTGGATGGGCGGGTGAATGGGTTGGCGGGTAGGTGTTTTGGGACCTAAGGGGGGTACATTCCCAGTGGACCTCACACTGTAATGAGAGTGACAATTTATCTCTAACATGGGTGACATTGTAAACCCTGTATATAAGAATAAACTAGCCACGTAGGTGCCCTCAACGGTTAGAATTAAATGGCTTGCCGAGTTGATTTCGCTGTTTCTACACTATAGCCCCGGGTCCTGCTGCTGACCTCGTTACAGTACCGTTGTTTCGAAATGCTATCGCTGTTGGCCAACTTTTACTTTCGTGGACCATTCTCTTATGGGAGTTCCAGGGGAGTTCCATGTCCCCTCTCTTATATTAAAACTGGTGTGTCTAACTAGCACCTCGACTCGTTCTCTTACGACTATATGCGTTGAGTCGTCATGGCTTTTATATCAGCCAATGTTGCCTTCTACGGCAAGAAAATGCGTATACACCTGGCGCATTCTTAAAGTTCTACACAGATTGGTACTATTCTACGTATTCACGTACGAATTAATTCGGGCATTGTACGACACAGTTTATGAAACTCGTTAAGCCAGGGGGTGGTGGTGGGGTGGTGGTGGTAGGTTATAGGTAGGAAAAGTGCTTTAATTAGTATTTTGCTAACACACTCGTGTATTATAAAACATGTGGTTTGAAAACTAGTTTTCAGTTTAATTACGAAAATTGAAAAATAGCCGCCGACACTAGATTGCTTCACTCACCCGTAATACGTATTGCAATGTCGTTCATCCATTGCGCTCTTTCTTGCTTGGTCAACCAGCGGTAGACTCCTTATGCAGCTGATATCTCGGGTGCTGTCTCGGCTGCTGTTCCTTGCTTTGTCGTGAATGTAATGTGCTGTTCCTCGATCGTGTCGTCGTGATCGTATTCTGCTCTTCTTCCATCGCATCGTCGATATCCAGGTCGTACTAGATAAGTTCTGGCTTATATGTGTTTTAGCGGCAACATAATTGTTCGTAGGCATTTTCACACACAATGCTCGTCTAGCGAAAACGGCAACACTTCATTCCCACGTCACAATA